TTTGTGATGGAGTCTTGCTCTGTCACCCAGGTTGGAATGCAGTGGCTCGATCTCAGCTTACTGCAACTTCTGCCTCCTGGGTTCAAGGGATCCTCCCACCTCGACCGCCTGAGTAGCTGGGATTACAGGCACACACCACCACATCCAGCTAATTTTTGTCTTTTTAGTAGAGATGGGATTTCACCATGTTGGCCAGGCTGGTCTCAAACTCCTGACCTCAAGTGATCCACCCACCTCGGCCTCCCAGAGTGCTGGGATTACAGGCATGAGCCACTGTGCCCAGCCCTATTTTTTCAATCCTAATGTCACTGGATTACAAGCACCATGAGTGGCATAAAGCCCAGGGTGGGCAGGTCGCCATACTCCATCTACGCCTGCCCTGTCAGGAGGCCTGGGGGACACAGAACTGGAAGCAGAGGGCTGCTTGGTGAGCATGGGCTCAGAACAGAAGAAGCTGCCAAACTCAGCAGACGGGACTTCTCTAGGCACTGCCTGGGGAGGGCCAGTGGCTGGGACTGCAGGCATGAGCCACTGTGTCTGGCCAATCCTTTTTTTTTTTTTGAGATGGAGTCTCACTCTTCACCCAGGCTGCCAACACCTGCCCTGACCCTGCTTGCCTCTCTCTTTACTTCCCAAAGGCCCCTCGCCTCGCCCTGCTGCGGGGCCCACCTCGGGGTGGAACTGTTGCTCGGTGCGGGTGTGGCAGTACTGGCAGGCATCTCCATTCTCACATTTGCCGGGGTCTCCCCACTCATCCCCGTGCTTGACGTTTGGACATGGAGACGACCTGGCCAACAAGAGGGTGGGGTCAGATGGAGGTAAGAGAGGGTGAGATTGGAGCCTAGCGGGTGCCACCTGGACCCCGCCTCATAGGCGTGGGCACAGAAATGGAAAAGACCAGCTGCAGAGTCAGGGCCTTGCGGGTGCCACAAGCCAAGCTTTCTCTGGCTCAGCCTGGCCGCATCACCATTAAGGATATTGTTTGATTCCCCTCAGCCAGGCCCTCCCATCAGCCCAAGCAGGGTCAGGCTGGAGCCATAACCGCAATGTCCACACTGTGGCCTGGCCCTCATCCAGCACATTCCCCTCAGGATCAGAAGCGGGGGGGCCACAGAGACGATCTGACCAGGGTCCTCATTCATGCAGGAGGTGAAGCTGGGCTCCTACTGTCCAGCCATCCTCACTATGCCCCACCCCGGGCCCTGGGTCTGCGATCCTTTCATCCCCAGGGCCAGCCTCCCCGCCTCCCGGAGAGCCACACTGGAAATAGCATCTGCCTGACCCCTTCCCTGCCACTCCTCCCTCCCGTGGCTGGCCTCCTGGGGCCAAAGGACCTGTATTTGTGCTTCCGGGGGCTCCGCCGCCGGTCCTTGCTGTTGTGGTGGTAGGGACAGGCATAGCCTTGGCGGCACAGCCGCGGGGGCTTCTTGCAAGGTTCCGTCTTATAGTTCCCCAGCACATAAGCAGTCTCTGCACAGGGGGCCAGAGGGCAGGGGTCAGGTGATGGGAGCTGGAGCACCCCAAGACTAGCAGGACTGAAGTGGAGGGAAGGAGAAGCCACTGGGAAGGAGTCTAAGACTGGAAGCCCCTGAGAGATGAGAGTAGGGCCCCTCCTCCCAGGCCATGGCTCAGCCATGGGTACGGTAAGGCCGAAAGATGCTGTCCCTCAGAGAGACACCCACAGCTCACAGGGTGAAAGGGATGGAAACATTTGCATGTGCACTTAGATACGTGCCTGTGCACATGTGAAAGCCTAGGCGGATCTTGGGAACATGATGTGTCAGGGAAAACACTTTTAGAGGCGCCTTTTGAACGGCAGGTGTGGGGTGGGATGCGGGCCAGGTCGGGGCTTCGGCTGAAAACAGGCAGTAGGTGGCGATGAGCCAAATCCCCCGGGCTGCTATGAACTGGACAGGGATGTAACAGCCAGGGCATGGGTGCCTGTACCTTGCCACCGAGGCTCCTCGCTGAGGATCTTTTCTATCATGGCGTGGCTCGCTGCCCCGGCCGACTGGCCCTCTATGCTCCCCTCTACCGTGGTCTGACCATTCTGCAAGGCCTCCATGGCCTGAAGCTCCCTGAGAGGAGAGCAAAGAACAGAGGGTGGAGAGGGGGCATGAGGTGGCAAGAACCAGAGTGCCAGCCCTCCACTGCAGTCTGCAATACTCACCGTCATCAGCCGCCAGGCCCCTGCCCTGGACCCCAGCCTACTGCCATCAGCCCAGCCCAGCACCCAGCCCACCTGATGTCGTAGACAGGGGAGCGGAGGTCATGGGGCCCATGGGCGAAAGCGCAGTGCAGGCCGTTTTTGGTGCAGTTGCCTTTCGAGTCTGTCTCGTGGATGCAGATTCCAGTTTTGTAGTAACGAAGGTGGTATCTGCGCTCAGTGTCCCCTGTGGTTCTGTGCAGGAATGGGCACCTGGAACACGGTAGTAGGGGTTACTCAACTTTGCTGCCTGTAGCCTAGGCTTCCCTGCCTACCCCGTGCCCTTTCCCCAACTGTTGAAAGGCTTTCATTATGGCCTGGAAGGTGCACTAGGAAGAAGGGAATGACACGCCCTCCTTCGAGGTAAGAGAACCTCCCTGCTGCTGTTCACAGCCTAAACTGGGCCCAAGAGGGCCTCGTATTCCTGGGCAGGACAGACACCTGGGAGAACAAATGGTGCCCAGGCTTGAGGGCCATCAGAGAACCAAATGATCCACTCAAAACTTAGGCACACCCCTCATCCTTTGAGTGCTTCATTAAGCTAGGGGTAGAGATCTTTTCTATCATGGAACTCTGTGAGAAAGAGGTGCTGGGCCGGACCAGTAGCTCACACCTGCAATCCCAGCACTTTGGGAGGAAAGGCAAGAGGGTTATTTGAGGTCAGGAATTTGAGGCCAGCCTGGGCCACAAAGTGAAGACATCCGCCTACCAATCTCTACAAATTAAAATGTTTAAAATTCATGGCTGGGCATGGTAGGTCAGACCTGTAAATCCCAGCACTTCAGAAAGCTGAGGCTGGCGGATCACCTGAGGACAGGAGTTTGAGACCAGCCAAGCGAACATGGTGAAACCCCATCTCTACCAAAAATACAAAAAATTAGCTGGGCGTAGTGGCATCCACCTGTAATCCCGGCTGTTGGGGACGCTGAGGTAGAATTGCTTGAACCAGGCAGGTAGAAGTTGCAGTGAGCCGAGATCGCACCACTGTACTCCAGCCTGGGCGACAGAGTGAGACTCCATCTCAAAAAAAAAAAAAAAAAATGAGGGCTGGGCACAGTGGCTCACGCCTGTAATCCCAGCACTTTGGGAGGCCAAGGTGGGCGGATCACCTGAGTTCGAGAGCAGCTTGGCCAACATGGTGAAACCCCATCTCTAGTAAAAATGCAAAATTAGCCAGGTGTAGGGGTGCACACCTGTAGTCCCAGCTATTTGGGAGGCTGAGGCAGGAAAATCACTTGAACCTGGGAGGCGGAGGTTGCAGTGAGCCAAGATCGCACCATTGCACTCCAACCTGGGCAACAGAGTGGAGTTTGACGGTGCGGTGAGCTATGATGGTGCCACTGCATTCTAGCCTGGGGAAAGAGGGATACCCTGCCTAAATAAATAAAAATTATAAAAATTAAGAAAAGAAAGAGAGCTGATGTAGAGAAGGTTCTATGAAACAAGTAGGGTCAATGAATATTCTCTCTCAGTGATACTCCCAGGTTTGTCACCACCTTATGTTTCTCATTATTTCTCTACAGAGATTTGCAGTAAGATATTTAGGGTCAACAGACCTGGGCACCAGTGAGGCACTCTCTCTCTAAACAGCCAGCTTTGGTAGGAGCCGCATGGGATGTGGGGCAAGTGTACCCCCGGATAGGGAAGGGCCCTGTGAACCTCAGGGGAGGATAAAAAAGGGCCAAGGAGCCTGCTGGGTTCAGATGTGGGTCCTTAGGCTTAGCGAAAGAAAGGCCTGTTTTAGGTTTCTTAAAGTGGGAAAGGGAAATGACATCCCCCGCCCCAGGAATGGTAGGGTCTGAGCCCAGGTTCAGGCCATGGGCTGGGCTGCAACAAGTCCTCTAAAAGCAACCTCTGGCTGGCTTCCCCGAATCTGCCCAGCCTACCCTGAGGGCATTTGACCCAGAAGGAGACATGGGGCTCCTCTGAGGACAGGCTGGGTCACTCACTCGTCGCCCTCCGGGCAGAGGCCTGTAGCCTCGTCATACTTGGTGCAGTAGACGTCGGGGCTGTAATTGAAGGTGCCGTCCCGACGGCGGATGGACCGGCGGCGCCGCTGGTTCACGAAGTGCCAGTGGAAGCAGGTGTAGGGCCGATGCTGCGTGCATTTGTGTTGCACAAAGAGTGGGCACTGCTCCGTGCGGAATTCCTTCAGGTACCTGCAGAGAGAGCCCCGTGTGGGGCAGGCCAGGAGCAGAGAGTGAAGTCTCCAGTTCCGTTAGCCGCCAAGTCCCCTGAGGGCCCTGCCCTGGCGTGCTAGTGCCACTGGGACACCAGGAGAGACACAGAGCTGTAAGGCTGCACCTCAGCTCTAGGATCCAAACCCACACCCAAATCCCACACGAGCCTGAAAGGCAGGAACCACAGACCACAGGGCCCTTGGCCGTCAGCTGCTTGCCGTGTTGACCAGCTGTGGTGTTCATCAGCAGCTTGGTTCTCTGAGCCCTCACCAAGGTTTCCCAAGCCAAACCACTAATCACAGGCAAAGGGCTGCAGACAAGAGCATGAGGCGCCTCTCCCAAACTCTACAGGCCTCTGCTATTCAGGTCCACCTGCACGTTGTTGCAGGTCTCGCCTGTACCATGAGCTGGAGCTGAGGGAAGAATCTGCAGATAAGCACTTGGGCTTTTCAGCTCTGAAGCTGAAGGCCCAGATCACAAGGCATCCCTTGGGATTACTGACTCAGTAACTACCGTCCTCTGCCTGCCTTTGCCCAGACATTTCCTAGCACTACCTAGATCTGTGCTTCGGGAAAAGCTCATACTGATATTCTGAAGAGACCCTCCCACCCACCCCTGCTGCTCCAGCCTGTTTTGTCCCCGGTAGTGTCACTGTATGTGAGTACCTGCAGCAGCTGGGCTATTTATGTCCTGGGGCATGAAGCTGTCTCCTTTTGGCCACCTCCTCCCAGCCTTCACTGGTCTCTCTCCTCTGCCCTGCGTGTATAATGGCCAAGACACTCCCAAATCTCCTCTCCCACATCCCATCCAGCAGAAGGCCCCAGACCCACTCGCCCCCTTACAGGACACACTGTCCATCTGGGTTTTTGTTCGCTACATGTGTCCAGGTTGTGGGGGGTGGTCTCCTAGACTAGCCCCCCCTGCCAACCCCCAAGCCCTGGGAAGGACAGGCAGATAGTATAGTTCTGTTTAGTCTCTTGAGCCTAACAATGCAAGCAACAAATGGCTTGGGATAGGGCATCTGAGCCACTGAGGATGGTGCCAGAGGCTTGGAGATTGTATGCGGAAAGAAGTGTGAAGGGAACGGCAGCCTGACCTGAAATGGCTGCCTGGGTTCCGAGCAGAGCCTGGATCCAAGGGCATGGAACAAAGGCCAAAGGGTCCAGCCCCTGTCTCTGGCTCATGCCAAGACACTCAGGGCCTTTACGGTCTGGCCATAATGAAGGTGTGGGGGCAGGCGGATCCAGAG